TGAACCCAGCAGTTTTTAAATAGACTTAACCAAAAAATTCGCAGTGCACACTGTCAAAATTCTAAATTTCTGCTGTGTTTTTTACATATGTATGTATGTACCATACATACACATGTGCGTATGTACATATGTATATTGTACATACATACATTCAACTCAGTATCAATGCATTTATTTCACCATTGCCTAATCGCCTCGCTTTCCGTTTAATTTGGCGCGCAAAAGTATTTCACTTGAAAAATATTTTTGCACAACTTCTCACGCTCTCTTTTCCCCTGGCACGTCCTCTCTGCTATCTCAGCCATGCATAAAAAGTTCAACAATAGCGCTGAGTAAAACAGTCTTGCAATTACCGTTAGGTTCAAAGAACTTTTGCATCTAATTATGACGCAGTCTCGACGACTGCAGTCAACACACACATGTAAGTGCCGGAGTACATCAGCAAATATCATAACAGATTAATATTAGATGCATACTATGTCTGTTGTTCTCTCCATCTCATTCGCACGCATGTCTGCATCAAATTTATCACGACTGCATTGAGATCGATCGCAAATTTACACACTAAACTGTAACGGTGTGGTGCTCTCTATGTCTCTCATATAGGTCCGTATGTATGTGTGTGTATGAGTGTGTATGTAAACATCATAAAAGTGAATATGCTAATAAACAGCAGCAGCAAGAACAACAACAACCACCAACATAGGGTATGCCAAAAACAGTGTGGAACTATCTAAACATTGTAACAACAACATTGATTTAAACAAATGACATGCACACTTAGTTGGCTTTATGCTTACAATAAACAGATAACTGTTATAATAATGCGCAGACACAAATAATACCACTTTTCTTGGCGCTGCCAGTCGAAATTTAGAAAATAAATGAGCCACAGTTGCCTCACACCCACCCAGTAACAGTGGCGGCTTGAATATTAGAGACATTAATTTATCAACTGCAAATGTAATTGTTCTTAAAAAAATAGCAGTGAGAAAAAGAAACGTCACCCGAATATTTCACAAATGTCCACAATTTAAAGTTGAAACAATAATAATAAAAAATTAAATTAAATTAACTACACAAATGTCCAGTCTAATTGCATAAATCAAAAATCTATTTAAAAACAATTTATATTGCATTAAAAAATTAAATTAAATATAGAATCTCATTTACTTTTATTTTTCAAAATATATAAAACAAAATATATAAATCAAAATATATAATTAATACCATTTTATTCATTTATATAAAATATGTATTCATAAATATAGTTTCATTTTAAAAAATGTATAAATATGTCAGTTCCTTCGAGATAAAATTTTCTTTTATTTCTTACTTTTATCATAACTGATTTAATTTACTCAACTGTCAGCACATAAATGGTCACCAGTGTAGTCACTGGAGCTGTGAATGCACATGCACTACATACATACATACAAATCTATGTACATACATGCATATTTATGTATGTGGGGACCAACACACACACGGCCACTTGATGAGTACGGTTAGGTTTACTTAAGCCCAAAACAGTAGTGCCAAAAGGTTTATAATGTCTTAAGTTTTAATGACAAAGCAAACAAACAGAAAGCTATTTACATAAAAATTGAAAATGCACACATACAGATGTACTTTATGTACATATTTATGTTTCTATGTATGGTACTATATGTATGTCTTACTAATCAGAAACTCTGCTAATGCTCGGCTGCTGTTTGCGGTAAGGCGGCGACTCCACTGTATTGCCTGAGCACTAACTGTACTCCGTTATAAAATGCAATGCGCAGACACGCAGTCTCTATGATACATACACACAAACATTGAAGATACTCCCACGAACACTAATACATATACACACGTGGCAACAATTCTAAGTCGCTTAGCCTAGCAACAAAAATTTGTGCAACTTAACTCAAGCTACAGTAATGGAAAGCAAAGCTGTAAATAAAAAATATATATACATACATATATTTATATACCTACATACATATATCCATACTCGTATACAAAGCAATCATTGCACTTGTCGCACCCCATGCATACTCGTACACATACCTAGGCATATATACATATAGACGACCTAACCAGACTTGCCTCCTGGCCTAGGTTTTTGATTCCTGTTGCCATGTTCAATTTTTGTTTTTGTTTTCTGCTTGGCATTTTTATTTTCATGCTCTCTATACAAAAATTGCTTTTTTTGCACTTCATTTTTATTTTCAATTTTATTTTTCCTGTTCGTTATGCCTTGCCCCACAATGGGCGTGGCAGTCATTTCCCGCAATTACGCCTACACACAACAGCGGGCAGAGTTGTCAACGTCGTTATTGTGTTTGTGTGCAATGATAAGCCGTATCTGCTACAATCGCAACAGCACAGCAACAACAACAGCAGCAGCGACAACTAACGAAGCAGTCCAACCAACCAACCAGCAGTTGTGCAGGTATGGCAACGCTTCATACACACACACACAGGCTTAACTCACTCAACCGCACACTAACACATGCAAAGTTGCGCCGCATGCCTAGAAGTATGCTACAAAAAGCTCCAATTGTGCCATGTCAATTTCAAAAATGTGATAGCAAGAAAAACAACATGAACTAGAACGCACCGATCTTAATATACCCTAAAAAAAAACGTTGATTTTATTATAGAGAGTTTTTATTATTTTTTGTGCAAATTGAAAGAAACTGACACTAATTCTCTAATATGCTGTTAGCTCAAAAATAAACAACAAGTTCTAGAACGTCAACTTTTGCTCAAAACATATATACGTCAAAATGAATTTTATAATAACATTTCTACACGATATGTATGTTTTGATGCCTTACGCCCTTAGGTAGTCAGAAGAATTTGTCACGGAAATCTGTACAAACAGCTGTTCCCATGAAAGGATTATTTTAGCGTGCAAGTAATGCAGTTTTTCTATCATTAATTAATGATCGATTTTATTGCCACTTACTAGCTGGCTTGACTTTATAAAACATTCATCAAATAATTTCTCTAAGAAATAAACTGTTTGTCAGACAGAACATAATAGTTGTTTGTATTTTTTATTCGATAAACAAAATATCCAATGTCAGCTATTCCACAAAAAAATGGGAAAAGTGCTGCTTAAGTGGTTCAATCGAGATTGTTTAATATAAGATATCTATAAATAGAATCAAATTTTGAAATAGTATAATTTTTATATTTAAAGATTTGCCTGTATTATATATCCTATATAAAATGGCTAAACTTGCATTAAAATGTTTGCCAATACTTAATTTTTATCGCATAAAGCAGTCAAGATGGTATTCCCCATTCAAAAACCGTGCCAAAAGCATGTTTCAAATTATATATCGTAGGATTCAAGGATATTACGAATTGTATGTGGCCTTATAAAAGTGCAGACTCGGCCAGTATAACTTTTTCTATCTACATGCAACCACCCGCATGAGTCAGTCCAGTCTATAAAGGTTCGTTCCCTAGGCCGTAAAGCTCCGCTCGTCCGCCCACTCACCCGATTGGGTGCAACCGAAACGGCCGCCGGCATTCATGACAGACTCACAAGTTCGTCAAAGTCGAGGCTGCAGTAAATGCAGCAACACATACCATGTGACTGCCTGCCTGTCTGTCTGTCTGTCTGCCATGGCTGTTATATGATTGTATATATATATATATATATATATATATATATATATATATATATATATATATATATATATATATATATATATATATATATACTATGTGTGTGTGTGTGTCTATCTGCCTGTGGTTGCCAGATGGTTTTGACTTTTTATAGAAGTGTACGAGTGCGGTGGGGGGATGTATATGAATACAGCTTTGGCATAAAAATGTTTCAAGTGTCATTTATAATTCATTTTTACTCTTTTAAAACCCGTGCGGCAACAGCCACGCCCACGCAAACGCCCCCACAGACAAACAAACAGACGCTACGACCATTGGACGTCTGTTCAAATTAAAATGTTTCCGTTGTCGTCGTCGTCGTCGCATGCAAACACACACTAATACACTCAATAACACATACACAGTCAGTCAACTTGTGTGTACACTTAGGAAAAATAAATTCAAGTTATCTGCAATTTCCACATTTATTACAATCGAATTTTCAAATATATATGCCTAGAACAACTTAAGTTCATAAAATTGCGTACTCATTTCTTTTGCTACACTCAGAAAAAAAGAATGCCCTTAAGCTACAACATTTTTCGAAAAATACTACACAAGACAACTAGGCCTACGTTTAAGAAAAACAAGTGATTTTTGCCCTGGAATTGATAGTAATATGTCTAAAAATCTAAATACTTTAGGTTGAGTGTAAAACGAAATGTTCATATCAGACAACCAAAGCATTTTCAAGAAATTCGTAGACTTTTTCAAGCCATCACATGTACACCTACTATAGGTTAACAGTATTCAAAATCCATCGAAATCGTCCTATTATCCTTTCTCTCGAATATTTTCTATATAAATTCTATTGTGTTCGCGTGGATTCCTCTTCTTGAACACCGAAATGATTATACTTTTACGTTTCATTGCCATTGTTCGCCGATCATTTCTTCTTTTTGTATTTCATTTTATTGATTTCGTTTTAATATTTTTTTAACATTCTGCCATGGTTTTCTCTCAGTGTACTAGTGCGTTCATTTCTGTATCATTTTTTTTATTGCGCGCGCATTTTCAACGGGCGAGATTGAATTTTATTGCCTGCCGACAGGCTGACTATGCCTGGGTCGCTGGGTTGCTGCTCCTGCTGCCTGGCAGGATGTCAGAGTTGTCAGGATGCGGATTACACTAATTATGAAATGACATACAGCGAAGACTAACCGACAGAGACAGTAACGAGAACGACGAGCAGGACGAAGATGAGAATAATGGGAAAGCATCACCAACAACAACAAGAGCAAGTCGTTGTTGTTCATTGATTTTAATGGTTTTTTGTTGTCACTGTCAACTTAATTAAAAAATAGCCAATTTGATTTTGTTTATCATTGCAGATGTTGTCGGCGATATTGACGGCATTGTTGTTGTTATTGTCAACGGAGCGTTATTTTTGAGGCGGCTGCGTGCAGGTTTTCCATGGCTAAGCGAAGACAAATGACGCGCCCACATAAACAACAACAACAACAACTAGCCAGCTATAAAAACTATAAGCCATACACATGTTGCTGCAACATCGCGGAAAATGCTCAATGCTGCCGATGCTACAGCGATACATGCAACAGAAGCAGCAGCAGCATCAACAGCAACAGCAGCAGCTGAAACAGATGTCATAACAAACAACAACAGCAACAACAGTAGTCAGCAGCATTCAGAACAAGCGAAAGGTACGCCGCCAAAGCAGCAGCAACATATTGTTGTTGTTGCCGCCAACAAAATGGTTATAACAGCAACAACCGTAACAGCCGGTATACCAACAACAGCAGCAGCAACAATTGCAACTATTACGTCAGAGCGACAGCAGCAACATTCGGAGCAGCAGCAACATGTGCTATTTCAGCCACAATTACAAGCAGCGACGGCGGCAGCGGCACCAGCAACACCTCAGCAACAACAACAGCCACCTCAACCGCGCCAACATCCGAAAAAGCGTAAATTCGATCCAGCTGAGCTGGACACGGCTGATCAGCAGCAACAACAACAACAACAGTCGCAGCAGCAGCCACACACACAACAAAAGCAACAAAAACCCGCCGATGCAAATGGCAGCGATATGCTGCAAAATGGTAATGCTGCCAGCAACATGCTGCAGCAACAACATCAAACTTTAACTGTGCGCAGCATGATTGTGAGTCCATCAACCACAACAACAACAACAAACATTGCCACATTAAATTGCGGTGCAGGCGCCAGCAACAATGATATGAAGCAGCAGCAGCAGCAGCAGCAACAACAACGTATTATAATCACATCTCCACTGCAGCAGCAGCATGCGACTAGTACTTACAAGCAACATGCTGCCAGCAACAATAGTCAGGCAACATTGAATCATCAGCAACAGCAACGCACACACACACCCACAACGGCTGTTTACTATCCCACGCAACAGCAACAACAACAACAACAGCAGCAGCATCAGCAGCAACAGCATTCACGTTTAAGCTTTAATTCACACAATCAGCAGCAACATGTACAGGAACAACAACCACCAACACCACAACAACAACAACCACAGCAGCAGCAGCCACAGGAGACGGCTTCAATAGATCTCACTGAATGGACTAATACGCGTATTTTGGCCAATACTGGCAAATGCTATGCGCCAGGCATCATAAAGCAAACTTCTTGCGAAGCAACAACAACCGCCCAAAACAACAACAACAGCAATAGCAGCAGCAGCAACAACAGTGCGACCACAACAACCACAGCGTCCTCCACAATACTCGTCGAGTTCGATGCCACCGAGTTTGGCCAACAACTGTATACAGATGTGCTGCAACATGGACGCTACAATGTGATATTGGATGCAAGTCCGCCCATGGCTGATGTAAGTTTTATTTGCATACAATTATTGGTATAACCTCAAATTGAAAACTTCTTTGGTGGCTTACAGATTACACTGGAGGCGCGCGTTTGTGTGCGTCAACGACTGGAGGGCAGTAACGGTTGCGTCTATGTGGAGGGCATTATTACGGGTATCAATCAGGCCACCAAACAGTTTAGCGTGCAATTGTGCGACGAACACGTTAGTATAAATAATATTAAAATAAATATATAAATTGTAAATAATATTTAAGTAGAACTTGACTGACACTTTAACATGGCGGTAAACATTTTCACAAATCTAAACATTATTCTAAACGCAAATCTTTCTGAAATGAAATATGAACATAACCATGAAGATTAATTAAATATCAGTAAAAATTAATTTAAAATTTAAATTGCTCTGAACAATCATAATTAATTTATAACTTTTATTTTAAATGTATAATTCGGAAAAACATTGAGCCCTTTTCACCTTTGAATTTACAACTCTAAATCAGGTTTCGGAATTGAGAACTTTATGTACGATTCCACACATTTTTTATTAATTCCACACAATTTGAATGAATTCTGAAATGTAAATAAGTACAAGTAGTTCGCAAAAGTTAAGAAAACACTGAGAAATTCGTTGGACCAGTGTTTTTCGATAACGAATTCAAATACACAGTTATTCTGTATTCTATCATAGCTAGTATGAATATATATTGTTTTCTCATAAGTTCTTGTACATACAAGTATATCTATCTAATTATATCTATTTCATAGATAGTTTTTGCACATGGAATTGCCATAAATACGTGATCGACATTAGAAATTGATTTTGTAACCATCATTTAAATTATTTTGATGAACATAATTTTTGAAAGTTTCAAGATACGATCATTTTACAATGACAATTTATTCCGATTATAAGAATAATACAATGATAAGACGAATGATTCATTGATTTGCTGTTTTAAAAATATGTAATACTTCTGAAGATAATATTTCTAAATTTCCTTTTACAGTCCGCCATCAAAGTTGTGCGTCGTGCTGATCTTCGTCTATTGTTGCCACCCTGGTGGGATGAGCTCAACGAACTCACGCCCCCGATTAGTGCCGGCAAACGGAAACTGGAACAGGGCAGCGGCAATATTGTCTATCAGAAGGCATCCGGCCTACCTCTCACATTTGTGGCAACGCGTTACGATGGCAAGGTGCCCGCAACAGTGGCTCAGCAGCAGAAACAGGAAGAGTATTATCGCACAACAGCCACCTCACCGTTTCAGAGTGGCAACGCCAATAACCACAGTAATAATGGGGGTCTGTCTGTCGCTGGTCCGCCACCTCCACCGCTGGCGCATGTGGAACATGGTTTGGCATCGAATGGTCAGGCTGGCCTGGCACCAGCGTTGCCAGACATTGTGATCTCGCCGGGCACAAATCGCCATCCCCAGCATCAGCCACAGTCGCAGCACCTGAAAATGCATGTGCCATCGCCGGCGGCGGACGAACTGCAGCGGCGTCAACGATCCTACGATGATTACGACTCTGATGACGAACTGAAGCGTGTGAGCATTGGCTACTCACAGGCTGCCGCCGATGTGGATGCCGAAAAGATGAGCGCCTGCAGCAAGCGCAGCAGCATGCAAAGTCGTGGCAGCACCTCAAGTCTTATCGAACAGAGGCTTACACCCCGATCTCATCCAGCAACTCCAAGGTGAGTTCCATTTTTTTGAATGAGTAGAATTAAAAAATTCATGTTTGGTGTGTGATTTTGTGATTTCTTGAACTACTTATAATAACTTTATTCATTATTCGATATTGAATATGGATCTACGCACTTCAGAGTTGAGATTTAAGATTTCTTTATACGAGAATAAATATTACTTGTAGAATCCACTCAAAAGGTCTATTTTATTCCAGACTCTGCTTTTCTTTTTTGCGTGGTTCAATATTAACCATTTTGTAATCTTCTCCAGGATTGCTTCTTTCTTTCTGAAAACCTCTTTCCCTGCTTTCCCTTTTATGTCCTTTTCTTTTATTTCTCGTTCAATTAAACCATTTCGCATTCCTCTTCGGAATTAGTCCTTTACGGTTTCTTTATTCTTCATCACTTTTTTTGCAATCCGTTTTGTCAGATATATTTAAATAAAGTAATCAAAAGATCTTGGATAGATTACATTAAATAATTGGATAATTTGGAAATTTATTTTGATCATCATAAAGAACATTTCGATTTCTAGACTTATGTCTGTGCAGATTTTTCTGAGAGTTTACTCAATGGTTTATGATCAAAGAGGCACAAACCATAACCTATCATTAAATAATTCATTGATTCCATTTCCAGATCTCAAGCAACCACACCGCATCGTTTCAAGAAGGGTGATATTGTGGAATCGGAAACCGGCGTGCGAAAGAAATACAATGGGAAGCAATGGCGTCGCCTCTGTATGCTGTGCATGAAAGAATCTCAACGCCGTGGCTATTGCTCGAGGCATTTGAATCAGAAGGGCAACAATGCGTTGCCCTCATCGACTGCACCGGGTCGCTTTTTGAGGTAAGTAACATGCCGACATAACCTGGTTTTCCCAGATCGAATGCCTCATTCCATAATTGTCTCCCTTTATTCTCTCTCTCTATCTCTCTCAATATTTTCCCTGCAGCGATAGCCGCTCGAGCAGTAAGACACAAAACGATGAAGATACCTCTCGCGACTCAGAGACTTCGCCCAAACCTCGCGTTACGGGTCGTTATGATCAGGAAGAGACCGATGTAGCTGCCATGTTAGGTAGGTTCTTAGCACTGTCCAATATCCAATGCATTCGCGCCCAGCTCACACTCGCACTCACACCTCTATTGACTTTTTATGACCCGCCATCAAATTCCGCTTAAAACTTATTCATAGTTTTGTGTGATTCATTTCAAGGCTGGCTTTTCCAGCCCATAGTATGTACTGCGCTATACGTGAGAGGATCTCGTCAGAGAAACGTCGCCTTAGCCCTTAAATGAGCGCCAGCTTAGCTGCTAATCTCAGTTCACGCAATTACCAATACACGGTACAGATGCACATACAGATACAGAAGGGCTCTCTGCATGAAGCCGGTATTTTCACGCTCTTCTAGAATGTTGTGGTTTAGGTAAAGATAAGTTTAGCTGCAACGTTATACCCTACAATGCATCAGAATTCTCGACTAATGGAATAAGTTCTTCAAAACTGTTGCCATCTGGAAAATCACATTATGAAAGAACACTTGTAGGGTTATAAGTTTAGAGCAAAACTTACAAATAGTTTGTAACTTAAAGATGTTTTCGAAAACATACCATTTCGGATATTTTAAATATTATAGATTACAAGTACAAAGTCTTACACAAACGAGGTTTCGTTTTTAGAATGATAAAATACTTAACGTTTGCATATTTTTTAACGATTTTAATTCCGATTATAGCTTTTATTTTATTTTGTGTGTTCGAAATTTCATAAGCGAACTATTATTGGTATATTAGTGTTCCCATTCAGATAGATTGACAAACATACTCTATACAATTTTGGTTTAGTCTTAAATTATAAACTTTCTAACCATTCTGTAACTTGTAAGTAAATTTAGATCGATAGGTGGAAATGCATAAACTAATAAAATAATTAATTTATAGATATAATACTTTTCCTCTTTTGGAACGTTAAATTTTATGCTGAGTTTTCAACAATTTCAAAATTTCCTAACATAAATGAACCAAATCCTAGAGCTATACAAATCGATACTGATCCGTATTTTAGAATACGCCTTAGTTAAATGGATTTTTGGAGCTAAAATGTTTAGGAAACAGCAAGTTTTGTATAGAAATAGCATTTCTTTCGATTGCGTTTTTTTACTAAGTAGAGTTTTGATTACTCCTCAATGTTTGTTTTAGGTCTCTTTTTTGATATCACAACATATTTGCTGCATTTGTAGCGCACCTCAGCGACCTGTGTTGCCGGTACTTTCTCACAGTTCGACGATTCAATGCTATTCCAATTCACTATAAAAATGCATATCATAAAATTTTATTGTAACAGCGCCGTCGCCGCCGCCGCCCTGTTTAGAGCGTTCTGGACAGCGCAACGATGCTGCTGTCCATCTCACACACACACAGATGCATACACAGACACCTCGCGACAAAGGTCGTCGTCGCATTTTCTAAGGTAGTGGAGGAGGGCCCGGGGTGTTCTATTGTTTGACGTGTGCGTGCACTCAACTTTCGGGCTATTGTTATGGGCACGGCAGCAGCAACAACAACAACAATAGTGCCTTGCCACTTGAAAGTGTGACCGCAGCGTGATTTACACAGACGCAGCGACGTCGAAGTCGACGCCGACGCACACGCATTCCAATGCACCTGCAAGTGATCATAAGCAGCAACAGCAGCGGTGCGGCGTCAGAGTCGGCGTCAACGTCGCCGCCAGCCACTTGAAATGAACAATGCAGCAGCAGCAATAAAAACAACAACAACAAGAACGGCTGACAACGAAACAAAAGCCGCGCTATGCGTGCGAAGCGCAACAGAATCTTTTTCTTGTTATTTTTCACCCTGCTTTTAATTCTTTCTTTTTTTGTACCTAAACAAAAATGCACTTGAGAGAGCGCGAGCACACACACGTACACGTACGCACACATACATTCTACTAGTGTTGCCAATTTAGCTTTTTTCCCCGCTAGCATTGTAGTTTTAGAAATACCGATTGCGTTAAAATGGTGGACTAGCAGGATTTTTTGAATGTTAGCTTTTTAACAAATCAATCTAGATAAAACTTCTTGGTTATGTTTTTGGTATAAATCTGAACTAACTGACTTTCACGTCATTTCTAATTCTTTAATTTTTGTTCAAGTTTTTAATCGATTAATGGAATCATGACACGCCAAAACCAGTTCAGAGCACTATTTCATGTGGTAGAACATAAATATGTAAACAAATTTGGGGTCACATAATAAATTTGTGCAAATTACTGTGGTGTTTTAAAATCTAAAAGATATTAAACCAAAAACTCAGTTTCTCAATGGCATTATATTTCGTTAGCTTTTTCTAGCTTGTTTCAATTGCTCATTCAATCTAGCTATTTTTAATGCTGATGAAGAATTTACAGCACTGTCTGCTTGCACCTTACGGTGCACCCACACGAGCAAAAGCGCAGGTAAACACACAAGTATGTGAACGGCAAGAGTATCACATTGAGAGAGCGAGATATTTTATGCTGCTCTGCTCTCTCTGCTGCCCATCGCTCAGTTAAAGTTGCTGTTCTTTTGGACATTCTTTTGGACGTCGCACTTTATGTTGAAAACTGTCAAAGACAGACGACGTCGACGACGACGAAAAGAACGACATAAGAAGAAAATCAAGCAAACAAAAACGAATGTGACGACGACAAAAATTTTTGTTCAACATACATAATTAATAATTAATTTAAATTAAAATATAAGTTAATATATAAACGCTCTCTAAATAAAAAGTGAAGTGTGTGCCCAAAGTAATGTTAATCCAGTGTTTTTGGTGTCCGAGAAAAGTGCATCAGCGCCATGAATGCCTTTCAGGATTTTGAGCTGGGCGCAAAATTATACTTACAGTGCTTATGTAATGAAAATAATAATAATAATAATACACAATATGCGTAGCTTGAAACGTATGCTTTAATAATAATTATTGATGTTCCTTTACTATAATTGCTATATAATGTTGCAACGTATGCAGTTTTAAAATTTCAATGCAAGATTCAGGCTGCGCTTAAACATATCAGAGTTTAGTTTAAACAAAATTAATCTAAACTTTATACTCCCTCTCTCTTTTTCTCTCTATGTGTGTGTGCAGTGTCGCTGAGCAGTTCACGCTCGGCCACGCCATCGTATACATCACCTGTTAATCATGCCGGCGCCTCACCTTTAAATCCGCTCGTCCACTCGCCGGTCAATGTGTCCAATCATAGACAAAATTTCTTTACGCCCATTGCCAACAATGCAACGCAGCAGCAACAACAACAACAACAGCAGCAACACCAACCACATGTGGTGGCTGCAGTGGCTTTGGATAGCAAATGGAAAACAGCGCCCAGTCCGATATTGTACAATACTAACAACAATAATAATAATAACGGTGTTGCATATGCGCCACATGTGCTGACTGTAGATGGTGGTGCTGCACCACCGCCTCCACCACCACCTCAAACCACGCCCGTTTCGTTGGTTATGCATGCGCCACCGCCCAGCATACAACAACAACAACAGCAACTACCACAACCACCTGCCGCACATATAAATGCACATCATCATGTGCTGCCCGCGCCAACGCCACCTCATAGCACCGCCAGCGCCACCAGCACCAGTGTGGGTCATGCGACTAGCGTTATACGCATATCGAGCGCAGCGGCACCACCGCTGCAGCATGCCCCACCACCACAACAACAGCAGCAGCAGCAGCAACAACAACATCACCATCAACAAGTGGTTGTTTCTGCGACACCCGGCCACCAAACATTTCATCCTGTAATTGTAGATGCCACACAACTGGCGCCTGTGCCACCCACATTGGTTTCATTGCCGCTGGCCGCTTTACCACCGCCACCACCCAGCACGCCCACAACAACCACCACATCGACAACGCATTCTCTGCCGGACAAGACGCTGCCAAAAAACGGTAAAGGAATTATTTAAATTCGTAACAAAATTTATCAAAATAAAAATAATACCATTTTTTTTTATAAAATGGCAAATTTCGAATGGAATTTTGAAAAAAATAATAATAAACAACAGACAAATGAATATGATTGAGTTACAAGCTTATTTCCTTATCCAATGCAATCAAATTATTAGATGTTACCAAACTATTCTCAATTCAGAAACAAGATTTCAATTTTTGTTTTAAAAGTTTTCATTTGAAACTTGTGGAAGTAAAAACAAAGTAAGGGACGAAAATCACCCATCAAAACATTCTCAATTCCGAAATCAGTTAAGAAATAACACCGAAATTTTTAAGTATCCACTAATATTTTATTTAGATACCGTTTTAATCTTAATGAGAAAATTGAAAAAAAAAATATAAAAAGTTTTACCTCGTGTCGGAATTAAATCGTCAAAAACAAAGTTGATTGATTTTATTCGAAAACAAATCACTGCGCTCTTGAAATTATTCGGAAAATAGACTCTTAAGCGTTAGGCTCTGCAATGAATTGCTTTTAATATAAACTATGTCGTCAATCATATCAAATAATTAATTTTCAACTACTCACTTGCAGGCTACAATGCGGGCAGCTATGTTTGGCATAAAGTGCTGCCGCAAATCCAAATGCCGCCCATAACCAAGACAGCCCTTCTCCCGACCACAACAACCACACCGGTGGCAGGGGCTGCAAATTTAAGCAACTACAGTGTGGCCAGCATGATGCAACAACAACAACAACAGCAGCAGCCGCCGACACAGTCACAATATCAACACCAACATCATCTTCATCAGCAGCAGCAACAGCAGCAGATCAATCACAATAATAACAACAATCACTTGATTGTGCACGCGCCATCGTCATCGCCAAGCATGCCGCTGAACTGCTCCATGAATGATGCAGCCAAAGCTGCCGCAGCGGCGGCAGCAGCAGCAAAGAGTGCAGCAATGCATTCACAGAATCAAGCGACCGATGAGGTCGATGAGCAGCTGGATGATGATGTCTTTGAGGCAACATCCACATCCTCGAGCAGTGCCCAGAAGAAGGCAGCAGCCAAGCGGCTATCCACATACAGCGGTCCCGATTGCAGCAACAACAACAGTTCTCGCAACACCAACAACAGTAATGGCAATATACGGAAGTTAGAGGATTGTCATGACTCTGGCGATGGACCTTCAAATGCGCCCACAACCTCAGCGGCTAAGCGGCGCTCGCAATCTCTGAGCGCATTGCAACAGCAACAGCAGCAGCAACAACAACAACAGCAGCAGCAACAGCAACAAGCAGGAGGAGGGGCAGCTCCAGCAAAAAAGATACGACGACCCATGAATGCCTTCATGATCTTTTCCAAAAAGCATCGCAAAATGGTGCACAAGAAGCATCCGAATCAGGATAATCGCACAGTCAGCAAAATACTCGGCGAATGGTGGTATGCCCTAAAACCAGAAGAGAAGGCGCAATATCATGAACTGGCCAGTTCTGTGAAGGACGCGCACTTTAAAATGCATCCCGAATGGAAATGGTGTTCCAAAGATCGTCGCAAATCCTCCACTTCGGGTGGCAGAACAGCCGCCGGCAATGCTACGAATGCCGCCTCAGATGGCACGCAGCGTCTGGTTTCTGTAGATGGTTCCGATTCGTTGGAACATGATATGTGCCCCTCGACTCCCGGCAGCGGTAGTGGTGGTGGTGGTGCCCACGCTGCAGAACTGCAGGGCGATATTATACCACTAACCATTGACAATTATAACACGGCCTGTGATGACACGCCCACGACCATCAGTCAACGGCATACTAATGTCAAGGCTGAAATGTTGCACTCCGATGAGGACGAGCAAATGGTTATTGTGGAGGATCCCAAGACCACTGGCAGCAACAATAAAGGGAAATTGGACTTGGAATGTCGCGAGCGAGTCAATGATTCGGACATGGATGATGCACCTTACGACTATCGCAAACAGACCCACGAACAGGAACAGGTAATGTAATATAATCACACTTTTTAATATCAATTATTGCAAATTCTTTACGCAAAGTGTAAAATGTCTGTCTGTATGAACGTCAAGAACTTTGAAATCATAACAGCTAGCAGCAACAAACTTGGCATGTATATCTCTCTTATCTATGTACATATATACAAATCCAGTTTATTAAAAATTTTATTTATTTTATGTTATATTCATTGATGAAATTTATTTCTGTGCATCTCTGGCTATGTTCAGAGGAGCTTTCGTTGAAAATCATACCTACATCAATTTGTAGACAACTGATGATATATTTTTTTTATTGAAACCCAAACATAGTCATCTTTTAGACATAGATTTTCGGTACAAACACAATAATGATGATATTGTCCAGTTAATGTTATTTTAAATGTATTACCCCTTCTCCGATATATTTATTATTGTAACGCTCTCCTTTTCTTGCAGCACCAAGCTGAGGAACCGCCTACAAGCTGTTCCAGTGGCTCAAATGGCCAGTCAATGGTTGGGGCCAACAATAATGCTAGCAACTCGGAGCGTGAGGTTACAGTGAAGCCGAAACCGATTAAAGTGCATCCGGGAATTGAGAGCGCTATGCGGCCATATCCACAAATATTTCACCACTACACTAGTCCCAAGAATCCAATCGGTGTAACACCATTCCAACCCACAGGCGAGCAAGCAATAAATTTCAAATGTCACAAAACGAACAATCGAATAATCGAAATTTTTCTTCTCCACTATGCCTCCACAGGTGGCGCTTTCAAGTCCATGCCTATCAGTCCGAAGGGTACGATGGGAAAACTTGATGAGCAGCAGCAACAACAACTGCAACAGCACATCAAACAGGAGGACATCAAACAAGAGCCACCATCGCCATACAAGCTAAATGGTGGTGCCGCGATCAGCGCACCACCACCAGGAAACACTGTGGGCGCCATTTTCACATTCAATGTGCCAACTGCCACGGCTCTAAGCCAAAAGCAATACCATTATCACCCACTGCGTAGTCCCACGGATGTCAGAGGTGAGTTCTGAGTTTGAAAATTCGAAAAATCTCAATTTGAATTATGTTGCTGTTGTGATTAAAGCTGAATGCAATTTGTATAAATAAATATAAAACTTGAATCTCCGTTTGAAAGTAAAGTTCAGCTGGAATCGCAACTGTTTAAATATTATTTTCTCTTTATTTATATTTGTTCGTAAGTTTTTGGTACTTTATTGTTTTACAATAGAAACCTCAAGAATTGGCATTATTTTGAAACCTGATTTGTTGTTGTATGCTATGATTTGTTTATAAATTATTTTATATATATATATATATATATATGTATAGTACTTTTATTGATGTTTGTTACGCAATCAAATTCTCACTCCCCTCAAAACCATTCAACATAACCATAAGACGGCATTATTTCATCTAACAAGCGCTTTATGGCATAACATCTTTCTCTCTATTTCTTTAAATGAACACCCACACGCACACACACACACACATACATAACTTAACGTGTTTATCTGTGAAAAAAAATATGTGTACCTCCTTTCTAACACTCTGAACGACACTGTGAATGAACATTTCTCATGAAACCATTCATCAAACTCATATCATTTTTGTGAAACGAAAATCTCAGACAAGGACACAGAAATTGAAACGAATAGTAACGATAACGACAACGAAACAAATCCGGACAATACTAATGCTCAGGTAAATCGAGAGGATGCTGTGTCCTCCGCCACCCCCTCCTCCAATTCCTCCGATGATGAGGACGAGGACGAACAATTCATGCAAGAGCTTGCAGCGGTGACCGATTTCGATGATATAGCTCAGTATACCATAGCCAAGCCGACGGCAATTTTAGTAAAGACGCCGACCCCGCTAACTGCGGCCACCCCTCCTCCCACAGCTCCGCTGGTTAAGCGTAAACAGTTCACCATCGTGCGGTCTCTAACGCCGCTGCAACACACGAACTCACCGCATCAGCAATTGAAGCATATGCATCAGAGGCGAGTGGAGACGCCGCCGACAGTGATAACACGCGTGCCCACACCTTATGCTCACGAGGAGCAGTCACGCACCTTGACCCCGACACCGACACGCACATCGACGCCAACAACCACCACAATAATAGCCACAGCGACTGCAGTGCCCAGAAATCATTTCACAATCATACGCACCACTCAACACACGACACCACCGCCATTGTTTTTCAAGAAAATACAAAAAGTCACGACAATTGCAGCAGCAACAGCGGCCGCCACATCAGCAACATTGTCCATTGTTACATCAGCAACATCTGCAATATCAACAACAACAAGCACCACAATAACAACAACATCCAACACAACTACTAATGAGCAAGCTAATCAACAACAATTTTCACATAATTTCAACAATGCTGCCCCGAAAATCACAACCACATCATCAACAACAACAACAACAACGCCTATCATACGCAAATTGCTGACCTTGCCCAATGGCGCGCATGTTGCAGATACCGGTGGCAACAACAACAACAACAGCAAGGCCACAGGTCGTGCAGCCATACTCTACGATGCTCTAGTTCTGGACACATTGCATGGCGACGATGACGAGGATGACGATGAAGAGACTAACGATGACGAAGTAACAATGGTTGCCACTTCACAGCAACAGAAATCTATGCAGCAGCAGCAGCAGCAGCAACAACAGCAACCTGCCACCATGTTGCTCATCACTGATGTCAACAGCTATAATCAGCAGCAACAACAGAGTCTGACACAGCAACTTTTGCAGCACAAGCTGTGCAAGCTGAGCAGCAGCAGCAACAGCAGCAACAGCAATGAGCAACAGCTTGTTGCAGCAACAGCAACTGGTGGCAATCATCAGCAAACGCTGACGCCCACATTGCGTCCCCTATCCTTCATAAGCATTAATGCATGCAATAAAATAACCCTGCCTGCCAATGCACGCATATTAACAACAACAACAGCAGCCGGCACGGTGGCAGCAACAACAACAAGTGCAGCATCCACTCTAACTGTGCTCAATGCAACGCCGGCCACGTTGCTTAGCAAAGGTGCAGCAGCAGCAACAACAACAACAAATCAGACTCTAAATAATGCCAATCTTAGTGAGTTAACCATAACAGCCACAACAACAACAGCAGCAGCAGCAACAGCTAAAGCAGCGAAAGTTGTCGGCGGCAAAGATGTTCCTGTCAGCATCAGCAACAACAACAACAACAACAATGGTGGCCAAAGTTCCACCATACTCATGATTAATTCAAATGTAGCCACTGTTGTCAATGCCTCCTCTTCTTGCTCCTCCTCCTCCAACCCTGTAGCTCATCCGGTGCCATCGGTCCCCTCATCACCAGCTGCCGTTAGCTTGGGCCATGCCGCCAACATAGCCACGCCACCGGCATCGGCACCAGCGCAAATTCTGGGCGCCACAGGTGTGGGTTCCGCCTGGGTCATGGGTAATCCGGTAAGTCCCTAAACGCTGAACCAAGTGATTTATTCTTACATTTTTATTATACAAGTAGTAAATCATATATCTTACATTGAATATTTTATTAAATATTAATCAATAATACGTATTCAAATGTAATGAAGTCTGTTGGTAGATGTAGATGATCGGTGCGGATCCTACAAAAGAAGCAGACTTTCCACTATACAAAAAAAAAACCCCCCTAATTCTTTGATCAATAAATTCGTAAAAGGGGATATTTCTTATAGATAGAGATTATTTTTAAGAAACCATTTACCACCACTTACAAAAAATGATCATACTTATACTCATACTCTTTTTTTAAGTCTTGCAATTATAAAAGGCTTGTAGTTTTTATTCTATTTGAAAAAAAAGGGAACTACTTATTTTCTATTAATAATTTCTGGAAATGGTTGAAGTACTAGACCTTTTTTCCACAAGTGCTCGTCAGATAATATAACCTTACTTTTCCTTTGCTTTATACCATTGTTCAGCTATTTAGTACCTTGTTTGATATATAAATATAAATGTCCTACACAATCAAAACTTGAAAGCTTGTTTGTATCTTTGGCTCTCTAATTTTGAAGCGGTCCCGAATCAACTCCAACAGTCTTAAAATTTAGGAAAACAACCTTCTTTGGGAGATATGTATATTTCGAATCAGTCTGTAACCTTGGTTTTGAGTTCCCCATTTTAAAACTTATAATTCTTGTAGAATCGGCAAAAATTTAACTCCATAACAACTTAAATACTTTTGGCGATATGATACCGAACCGGGTTTGAACCACTTCGAGATCAGTTGGGAACTAGAAAAATATTTAATTGCACACCACCATTATAAGATACACTACTCAATTGTATTCGTTCTATTTATATATGATTCGGAACTTTTTTTAAGCTATTTTCGAACCGGCTTTTACAATATATATTGAATAGAACATGATGGGTAGACAGTTAGGTAGATATATGTATACATACATGTATAGATAAAAGTTTGACTTGCATTTAGAATAATTATTTATATCTAATAATTGATTTGTTTACAGTTCGCTTTGCTCTCACGCCCCCATCAGCCCAGCACACCCATTGACCACCTGCAGCTGGATCCGTTCAAGACTGGTGCTTACATATTCCAAAAGCACAATGGCCAACCCATGCAGGCCTTGGGTGTGCAGGGACCACCACCACCGGCATCGCAACCGACCATAATGCTGCACAACTATACGACGTCGCATAACGAACCGAATTCGCCATCATACAAGTCAATGCCATCCACACCCAAATCGGCCACATATCATCACAATCCGCCCGATTCGGCTGGCAAGCGTAGCTCTGACGGTGGCAATTCCTCCTCCAACTATGGCGCCGATGATGATGTCGATGCAGAGGGCCAACAATTTGTGTTGGCCCCGACACCAGCCCAATTGGGTCGAGCACCCCTGCAAAGGCGCAAGAATTTGTGTAAGTAATACCATGGATCTATTTCAGAGGGGAAATTCAATCATTTCCATCTACTATTTACAGCTCAAAGCAAGTCAGACAACAATATGGGCAATGCCTTCAACAACAACGGTCACAATCATGGCGCTGGGGGTGCCAACAATATGTCAACGAGCTCCACCAATGGAAATTTAATCATGGCTGACGCCTCATCGCCCATAATCGGCCATGTCAATACCAATCTGAGTTCGGCTCTGCCCACGCCCACTTCCTCGACCACCACGCCCAACAGCGACGAACAACTGCCGCTAACGCCAAACGCCGGAAGCAATGGCAGCAACAGCAACTCCAATCCAAGTCAGCCCAAGTCCCCGCTGAAAAGCGCAGCGGCAGCGACGGCAGCCGCGCACAAAAAGAAGAACGATGAAATGAATAAGTGAGTGAATAGGGAAATCCTGTAAAGAGCTGTTCCTTTTCCAGCAACAGATCATTCCCAGAAATAAGTTATTGTGAACTTGAGAACTCCCTTTTTCCGAGTATAGTATAACCGAAATATTCACAGTTTTTTAAAACTTACTTTCCAACATTACCATATTTTGAAAATATTTAATTGAATCTTTATATATTTATTTGTACAGCGTGCTGAAACAGGTGGACTTTGAGAAGAAATACAAGGCGCTGCCGCAATTTAAACCTGAGGACTGTCAATCGCCCAGCGCCATTGCCGTGCCATCATCGCCTCGTGTCTATGGAACCAATTATCGCAAGAAGAATACGGTGCCACAGACGACGGTGCCAAAGATCAGTAAGTTATAAGCATTACACATAACATATAGACCTGTTGGTAATGTCGCTTTATTCCATTAAAAAGCAGTGAGCGAAGATGACTCCATTGATGAGCCCGCCTCGGCACCGCCCACAACAACACAACGTTTCTTTGGGCCGGATTTCAATAATGAGCTGCGAGGTAAGCAACATTTATTTTAAAATAATTTATACAACTATTAAAGCATTTAGTGTCCGATTACATAGAACTGGAAAGTACGGACCAGACAGGTCGTTCACCACGTACACCCAAAACGCCGCTGCAGAGCGCACGCTCCGATGCCAGTGAGAAGGGACATCGCAAAGTACTGGAGGCGCGACGAAATTTGGTTATGCAATTGTTCAATGAGCATGGCATGTTTCCATCCGCACAGGCGACCATTGCCTTTCAGGTAATGGGAAGGGAAGACATAAATTCTGATTTCTGAACTCAGATTCGTATAATCTACCAAGAAGTTTTTGAAAAGTGAATACTAATTTAGTTAATTGTATCAGAGAACTTCTTATAAGTTAAGAAATAGTTTAGAAAATCCAACAATTTGAGTGCGAATTTATGCACTTGGTCCCTAAAATGAGGGAAAATATTGGAGTAATTCGAGATTTCAATCAATAGAAATTTCTATATTTTTATAATACTTACTCCACATAAAATGAGGGAAAATATTTAAGTGATTTGGAGTTTCAAGCAATTTTGATTTATAAGTAGAAATTTGTGTATTTTTAAAATAGTTAGTCCACATATTAATTTCTTACGCATTTATGCACTTGGTCCCTAAAATAGGGGAAAATATTTGAGTTATTTAAGGTTTCAATAAATTCTCGATTTATAAATAGTAATTTCTATATTTTTGTAATACTTAGTCCAAATATTAAACATTTTCTTATGCATTTATGCACTTGGTCCCTAAAATGATGGAAAATATTTAAGAATTTTGATGGTTAATTTTTACAGAAATAATTTTTTTTTAATCTTGTATTGAAAAGAGCACACCTATTGTATTCTTTTCTTTTGAAAGTTGATTTTAAGCATGTAGCATCAGCTTCCTAGCTTTTTTTTGCCAAAATAGCTTTTAGGTGTATATTCTAGAGATATAGCTGATCATAAAATATTAATGGAATTCCTTCTGCCATTCCCACATTCTCCACAGACCAAGCACATAGATGTCTTTCCACGCAAACAGGATCTGCAGCTGAAGATACGTGAGGTGCGTCAGAAGGCTTTGGGTCAGCCGGGCTTTACGCCCCATTCGGCCGGTCCCAATACGCCCTCCGATTCGAACTCCTCCTCGACCACGCTGAGCGTTGGCAGTGCCAGCCTGAACACAAATGCTGTGCCCCATACTGCAGGTGCGACTCCTTTATTGTGTTATTTGTATTTTGATTTATTTTCATTTCCATTCCCGTATTTTCTTCATTGGGGAAAAACATTCTCAATAGATGCTTTTCAATATTACTACACAGCAGGTATGCACTCCCAGGCATTGGCGGCGGAACAATGCATGCTGCAGGCCCAGAGAACTGGCGATGTCGAGGCCAAATATAAGTGAGTTTCAGCAACAACAACAACGACTAAAACAACAACAACAAAAAGAAGGAGTAACCGAATCAGAACCAGAAACAAGAAACAAGAAAAAGCAGTCGTCTAAACGCTGCAACTGACAAATTACTTAAAGGAAATTGTTCAAAAAAAATTAAATTAAATTTTTAAACAAAAATTTTGCAGCAGTGCGCACACACACAGACACACACATACATACAAACACACACACACACAGATGCAAACAAAGAGGCATGCATGAAATGCATGCTAAAACAAAATAGTTTAAATTTAAATAATAAATAAACATTTAATTACAATAGGCATACAGCAACAATAATAACAAAAGGCGTAGGCATTGAATTTATTAAGCAGCTTAAAATATGAACATTGAAAAATACAATTAAATTAAACTTAAAACTAAACAAACACACACAGAACTTGAAGCACATTATGAAGTACGCTACGTTGTAAAATGGAAAGAAAAAACCTACAAACCTAACAGAAGATGGAAAAATTGTATAATCATAAACGCTTAGTTATTAATTTACAGGCAAGCAACACTAAAGTTGAAACATAAAATTAATAATAATAACAATAGCGCTTAAGCTTAAAACATAAATTGCACATTTATTTCTGAAGTGTAGCACAAGAATTGTAAAAAAAAAGTAAACAAAAACAGGAACAACAAACATAACAACATGGATTCATTAAAACTTAAGCTGAAATGAGAAATTCTAGTAGCTTGTATTGTAAATTAAGTAATCAATACACACAAACACACATACATACATACATACACACACAGTGAGATACACACACTCCTGCATGTTGAAATGCTTTTTAAAATGTTTCTTATTTTAAATTGTAAATTTTGCCTTGCTTTTAAACAAATGTTGTCTAATTAAGTATAAATTATATATAAATATATATTCGATTTAAGCTTACTAGCCTGTTTTTTAAATTGTTTACACAAAATAAAACGAAATTTTTATTCAATTGGCAATTAATTCATTGATTGATTTGAAAAGAAAAACATAACAAGTAACGATTATGAACCACGTTTTGAATACAGTTCTGTCTTCCACTGTTGCTGCAATATTTGAAATATTGATAATTTTTCAAACTAAAAACTGTTAATTGCATTACTTTAGTTCGTTAATTTAATTTAATTTTATTTAGCGTGTGTGACTGCACTGAATTTTTAATTGTGTCTTAGCTTGTTATTTTTAAAACCTTACCGTGTAACATAATTTAAGAAGAAGCTTTAAACAAAATATCTATCAAGACGTTAAATACATGTCTCTTAGGCTGCATTTTTTAAGTGAGTTTTGTTTAACAATTAACGGGCTTTGTAAATTGTAAACAGCCACCTAGGGCTGAAACAGGCTTTCTTGAAGTTTTATTTGGCATAATTAAAAAAATAAAATAATCATAAAATCAACAGCTTTTTAAAATTCTTCTGCTGCTTCCTCTTTGAGTCACAAAATGCTGTCGATCCCATAAATTCTGTTGCGTTCGCAAATAATTGTTAAGAATATTTTCAATCTTCACTCACAACACACGCAAACAAACAACACACAACAACAAACGCGAATTAAGCAATACAATATGCAACCATAAACAATTAAATTAAATGTTTAAAGTAACAATAATTTGAAGGACAACAACAATTAGCAATTAGCATGTTTCAAGATGGTTTGTCAGAGCCCGCACAGTAATTTATAGGAAAATAAATTGAAACAGCTTCCATTTAAATGATAATCATTAAATACAAATAATGGGATATATATTTATACACACATATGTAGTATGCATATATACGCATAAACAAATTAGTCGCTCCAACTTAATTACGTATGTACTATGTATGTTTAGTTATGGCAAGCAACCAACTCAAACGCCCATCATTTGCATAATTTTTTTAGTTATTAATCGTGAAATTTAACACACATTTATAGCAGCACTTAGTCTTTATGTTTAATTAATTTTAATTTGTAATTAGCTCTTATGTTGCTTAAATATAATTTGTAGTTTCTTAATTCAATTATGTTTATGATTTAGTGAACAAAACGAAAACGAAATTTTATAAAATAAAACAACGTCAAATTTTTTAGAATGTTACAAAAATATTAAATAAAAAAACCAAGTTTTTCAAACAAGCAAATGGCGTCTAATACCCAGGCATGCGAAATAAACAGCTGGTACATGGGCACTATTTATTTATTGATTTACAGTTACAAGAAAACCCCAATAAATCAGCTCCAGTTTCTTTTGTTTCGTTGCAATTAATGGAATGGAAAATACACAGTTTTCATATAAATGTTGGGCCCGTTTCCCCCATTTGGAGTTCGAAATTAACTTATACATCGCAAGGAATCTTGGGCCCAGCTTTACATATGGGTTTCAAAAGTAGTGTCATTTACTTGGAATTATCCTTGCAATCAAATTTTTGTTGATGTGCGAGAATATAGCTTTCAATATACTCTGCTGAAATTATTATTATTCATTTTGAGCCGATCCGAGACTTGCACGTATATTGAATAAATTAATATGTACAAGTATAACCAAATTTATATTCAATTTACACCCATTGTTAACCCGATAGTTTCTGGGGATTATCTGGTGATGTCTTCGGTGCATATAGTATTTAAGAATCAAGGCATTAATACTTGTAGCTCTCGGTCCGAATTACAAAGTACATGTTTTGTGCGGTTCAATGATCAGATGACCGTGGTTATATTATTTGGTTCGTAAAATTCAAATGATAATCAGGGAACCCTTTGAATTACAAATAATATAGGTAGCTTAAACATCTTTAGTTCTTATAATATATTCAAAAAATGACTCTCTTCTCTCAAAGGTTACGCACTTTTCGCAAATAAGAGTCGAAATACTTTCCAAATTATTCAGAAATGTTATCGATTTCAAATGGCGTTTGTTCCAATGGAAATCTTTAGGAAAAAATAAATCGAATAACGTTGGCTTAAAACACTTTAATGTTTGTGCCAGCTATATATTTCGCATAACTCCTTATTCCCTTAAATAACAAATCAAGGCAAAATTTGAACTTGGCATGCTGGATTGCTAAAAAAATAGCGATCACTGGAGCAGTGAAAAAGAAGCTTCACTAGATTTTCCGAATTTAATTGGATGATATCGATAATGGCATCGATTATTCAATACACAGTATTTAAAGATACTTTGAATAAGTGAACGTTACGTTCTTCTACTTTGAATAAGTGAACGTTACGGTCAGACAGGCAAACAATTTGCCCACAAGCTTGTGTTCTTTCTCTGGTAGACCTTAAAAGTCAGTTCCAGAAGATTTTTGTATCAGAACTTTTATAAATTTGTGTGCAGACTTTTTGTCTGTCTGACTGCCGCTAGATAATGTAAGTAATGCGTTACTTTTAAGTAGTGTTGCCATCTATAATTCTGCTTACTGCAGAGCTGCCAACTAAAAAAAGAAACTGTACTTTTAATTGAAGAGTGTTAAAAACCTTTCATTTGGTTTCAAGTTCTGTCGCCATTATTTACAAATTTTTCTTTGATTACCCTTTCTTTTTCTCTTAACAAACAAAAGCGATCTTGTGCCAATAAAAACAAAACACAAAGTGAATATTGCATGACAAGAAAAATAATAATAAAAATACGTAAAAATAAAGCAACAAAAAAGTAGTGAATTTATAGACCCAACCCTTGAAACCTTGAAGTAAAATTGATCGTCAAACCTTCAACTCTGTCGACATATACAAAAAATTTGTCAATTAAACAAAGTGCAAGGCAACAACAAGACACAGGCACAACCAAATACATCTATACAGTAAATCGTATACAAAACTTTGGCAACAAAACTCTTTCGATTCAACAAAATTGTGAGAAAATAAACAACAACAAAAAAATGAAAAATGGAAAAACAAGAAAACTTTGGCAATTACATATGAACGCGAGCAAAGCAACAAACTCAGTCAGCAACAAAAACAAACAAACAAACAAACAAAAAACGGCGTTTCGGATACAAAATTCTAAAATTCAGGTACTAAACAAACAGATAGAGTTGTAAAATGTTGAAAACAAAACAATTTTTCGGAATACTCTTAATAAGAAAAAACAATATTTAGCTATTTATACAAAAACATAAAACAAAAAACAGAATATCGAATAAATATATGTAAGCCATATATATTTTTCCAACCAAGCAAAAAAAAAAAAACAAACCAAAATACATACTACATATACTGTATTTTAAAAGGCTTTTAAAAAGATGTAGAGAATGGAAAAATCGTCTTAAAAAAGAAACAAACACAAAAAATGAAAGTGTCAGTTTTTATGGTTTTTTATTCGCACAAGTAGTTTGTTTTTTACAAAATGCAAGTGAGAAACATTTTTAGTGAATAAAACAAGAGAAATGTAATAAAAAATACAATATTCATATACATATGTATGCAGAGAGGGACTGTTCAGGTGTCGAAAATATTTGACAATGACAAATGTTCGAACGGATTCATAGAAAATTAGAAAACACATTTGTAAGATTGTGAGAATTATATTTTGATAATACTTATTTGTAGATGGTATGGAAGGTGTTAGGGCTATATAAGTATTTTTTGTTAAAATTTAAATTAATATTGTTAAATAATTATTATTGTTGAAGGGGTGTACTTGAAAGTTTAAAAGCCAAAAGGTAGAACACGCACGCCCACCTGTTCTTTCACGCGTCAGTCCGTCCGTATGAACACCAAGAACTTTTAAGGTATAAAAGCTAGAGAGACCTATCTTGGTATGTAGACTTGTCTCATCAATATGCAGACTAAGTTTATAACAAACATACACACATATGTAAAGTACCATTATTTTATATAGCTGCCATAGGGACGATCTCATAAATAATATCAGCTTTAGTGCGATCACTTTTTTGTTTGTAAATATATATTTTTTATAGTACCTCATGATTTAAATCGGCTGAAGTTTCATTTAAATCGAATTACTATATAGCTATATAGGAGGAGGGTTATCAGAGAGTATTTAGTGGTTTTTACTCGTTTTTTTCTATAGCAGTTAAAAATTTTTGGACTGTTTTTTTCAAATATATAAAGGGTGCCTTTTAGAAGATCTTTTTTTCCAAGCAACGAATTACACATTTTTGGAAATGAATTCTAAAATTATTGTTAATATTATTGGTTCGGGATCTTAAAATATTCGGAATATTCAAAATATATTTTACTCCAAGCATTATCATTCCGTCTAATATGGCATTTACTCGTACTTATATGAAAGATGTTTCCATCTTAAAAATGTAGTCCTTTATATTTTAAAAATTATCATCACTATTAGCTGGTTGTTCTTTAATTTTGCAATTATCTTCGAACCAAAATATCTGCTCATTTTCACTTGCTTTTCTGAAACCTAAGAAAACTTATTAAGGTAATGCTTTATATTTCCAAAATTATCATCACTATTAGGGGGTGATGTCTTTGTTCAATTCTGCAAATTTTTTTTTTTTTTCTTTTGTTTTTAATTCGGCAAATATGTTCTCATTTCGGAAAATAGTTTTATATCCGAGACTTAAGAACGCAATCCCACTAATTTCCTTTATAGTTTATTTGAAATCTTTTTAGGAAGCCAAGTCAGGAATGTCTATTGGACTATGGACTATGATTCTATTCTTCTTTCAATTCAATCGAACATTTGTCATTTTCAAGACTCTTTTTGTATATATTTGAACTTTCCGCAGCATTTGGTCCAACATTTTGGGCTCTTTGATTGAAAAATAAATTGTAGCGGCAATCTTTTATGAATAGAGTTTAAAGTTACCCAGCGTTGTTTGCGGTTTGTTTAGTTAATTGTTGAAAACAAATATATAGTACGTATGCATTATACGATTTATATTACATGTATGTATTATTAAGCACGATTCTAAAGTCAAAGCAACCAAAAAGGTTCTGTGCAAGTAGTGAAAATTTTAGGTATTCCTTACGACCTTTTTATTTTGCAATTGACCTGAACGCTTTGTAAAAAGTAAAATAAAGTCTATAAAAATTAGATGAAAATCAATGCGGGGAGATATCGGAAACCCTTTTTGTGAAATTAACTATTAAGCAGTTATTGTGAGCGTATTTTTAAGCAACAACAACAACAACAACAAACAAACAAATTACAAATATTACGTACATACTTATATATAAATATATTAGCATTAAAGCATTTAATATCTGATGCATATGTGTGCTGGCCGTTCCATTTTTTCGCAATGAGTAACAATTTGTTAAAGTTTAAGGCAAACTACTTATAGAAGATTTGCTGGCAACAAACAGTCATTTGACAACACTGCACAGGGTAGCCTCGTCGTTTCAAAGAACTAACGGTGCACACACACACACACACACACATACACACATACAAGCAACCATATATATCTAGATATATATATGTATATGTATACATACATAAAACCAGGTTTATATATATACAAAAACACACACAATATATAACGATAAATTTACTGAATAAAGTGAAAAATATTCATACATAATAACTCTATTCTCTTCTCTATTTTTTTGGAGTGGGGAAAATGTGCTCACAGCGCGTGCAGCGAGCAGTAGTGTTGCCAACTTTTTAGAAGGAAAAAAAACTGTTTTACTTTTTTTGTAAATGAGCCGAACATCTCGAAATTTTTCCGTATATTCTTCCGGCATGAATGTAAAATAAGGTGAAAAAATAACAATGATAAAGCTGTCACATTTCCACTTTTGTTAGCAAGATTGCAAAAAGCGGCAAAAAAGCTCAATGCATTTTTAATTTGATTTCAGATTTAACGGGAAATGTGATCAGTAACCAAATGTTGAATGATTTCTTTTGCAGCAAAGGATATTAAATACATTAAATAATAATTACCATTAACTTAATTTTTAGCCTTTTGAGGTGCAATGATATTGTGAAAATTCTCAGCAATAGCTGGCCTTTTTTAAAGGCACAGTGGAACCAGTTACTATCGACTTGGCTGCGATAGAAACTCTCTCGATAGAGAAAGGCAATAATACAGACATACAGAGATACGAATACCCATTTTATTCCCAATGTAGACTCAGTAATCTAACTTCTTGGTGCAAAATTGTATTCTAAATCGAAATCCGCTTTAAAACTGCAAATTATTGCAAGAAAAATCTACCTTAGCCTTACAAATTAATGGAAAAAATACCCTTGAAGGCCGATGACTACAAAGTTCTTTCATAATCTTTTCTTGTTAAACGAATATTTTGAAATATAATTTGATTTACAAAATATAGCTTAGCAAAACAATTTTATCTCAGCCCAGTAGTTCCATTTGATTGGAAAACAATATGCTTTCCGAAACTTATGTTGGACTCTGTTTTTGTAACACAACTTTCCAAACAAGTTTCAAATATAAAATTTTTGGCTGCAGTTTTTTTAAAAAATCCTCAAAAAAACTGCTTGTTTGCGGCACACAATGTTCATTTTATTATATTTTTGAGATTTTTGCTTAAAACGGTTGTAAATAAATGCATTCATAGGAATGCATGCATAGGAATTCATAGGACTAATACTGATTAGTAGGAACTATTTCCAAATGATCCTATTTAGGCAGCTTCTCCCTTCACCTCCGCTGGCACCTCAACCTCCAAGAGACCACGAACCGAACTCAAAATGCTAATATCGGCGCAGTTTTTAAAGTTCTCCTGATCGCCACAGCCCAGAGCGCCAGTTCCATCCGCACACACGCCCCAATTGTTGCCTGCAGGGAAAATTAAATTTCGATTTAGCAGAGTAGTTACAACTCGGGAATCCTTCGCACTTACCAGTTGTGTAGGTCCAGCGTAAGACGCAATGTTGGCAGACCAAGCCGGCGGGCAGTCGTAGCTGCAAATTGATCTCTCCTAGTGTGGTGCCCAAATAATATTGATCGCTGCCATCGGAAAATTTGAGACGATTCTGGTCGAAGCATTGCTCCGATTCGCGCCCATAGACATCCAAGTTGCACAAATGGAAGCTGAAGAAGCCCAAATGGTTGGCTGTGATGCGCACAATGACGTCCGCAGAACTGGAGCTTATGTAGCTCTTGACTATAACACCCTGGCCGTATTTTCCGCCCAGCTCGTTGGGTCGGGGCTGTGCCAAACTAAAGTCGTCTCCACAAAGACCGCAACGGCCGCCATTCTCAGTTTGTTTCTGTTTGGGAGTTGAAATGTCAGGGATTTATAATTTCTTGATCTTCAGATACATTTCTTAAAATGAATCTAAAGTGTTATTTTCAGTAATAAGATTGATTTAAAACTGATTTCAAACTTTATTTCTGGCCGCTTAAAGTTCTACTAGAAGGATTAGGACTACAATTACACGTAGATTCTTGATTATATGATTTTTAATCCGTAATAGAAAGATAAATAAAAATAAATTTCCGATCAATTTCAATTCTGTTAAAATGTTCGATATTTTAGCTTTCAAAATAGTGTTTCGTTCAATGAAGATAAGATCTTTAAAAAAAGGTCTTTATTAATCGTAATCTCTTCAGCAATTTTAAACTTAATTTTTGATTATTTCGAATTGTCAGAGTTACAAACAAATACGAAATATAAGCATAAGCCGCTCATTCTTAGTAAAAAAAAGGAGATAATTAACTTTATTTTTGAATGTTTAAAATAGTTTTGATACATTGGAAGCTTCGGGTCTTGTAATATAGATTATAATAATTCTGATTTGATGTTGAAAAAGAGAATTGAAGCTGTTGATCTTGAAGAAAACTATTTCAATCTGATCTTAGGCTTCATTTGAATACTTCTCAAGTGTAAATAGTGATTCTTTAAAGAAATGAATGCATTCTTGATCTTCGAGAAATATAGAACCGATATAGAACCGAACATAAACTTCATTTCTTGAAGCATAGATTCCTAAAAAATTTTTTAAATTTAAAATAAAATAAAAAAACAAGAAAAGATGATTTTGATTTTGTCATAAAAATGTCAATAATTAGTTCTTGATCTTCAAGAAAACGATTTAGAACCACGCTTATTCTTCATTTCTGATAAGTTTAAGTTCTTTAAAATAAAATAGATGAACGAAAACAATTGCCAATAGAATTTACGCTTTAAATAAAGATCGAAATTATTTCATTTCTGATCTTCACGAAAAAATTTTAGAACAGTTCCCAAAATTAGTTTGGAATTAAGTTCAAGTTCTGGAAAAAACATTTACCCAAAAACCACCGCAATACAGTCCATTGTCATCGTAGTTGGCGGGTGCAGAGCCATCGTATCGCCAACGGCTCGAGCGACCGACTGGATACAGGAGTATGCCATGGGCATCGATCTCTCCGAGACAATACATCCATACAATCAGCAAAGTAATACCGAACCAGCACTTCATATTTCTTGATTTTGCATTCACTTCTTAGTCTCTTCACTTTCACTTTTATTCTGACTTGCATTACCCATGGGGGTTGCCTTATATAGTATCGGCACATTGATGGCCTTATCGGACTGTATATTTTTATGGGAGATCTTGGATTTTATTCGCATTTGGCCCAAATTGTTGCTATCGTTGCGCTGTTTGTTTTGGTTTCAGTTGTTGTTATCAGTGCGCTCTATCGTATAAGTTTTTATGTTTATAGAGGTGGAATGTTTTTTGAAGATCATAATGTCTTTCGAGTGGATCGCGCCGATCATAACAAGTTGGTGAGACTGCTAATGGGTGAGTCAGGAAAGTAAGAGAGAAATGTTTTCAACCATATTCTTAATAATTGATAATGTCTGGAATTTTACGCATTAATTCAATGACATTTGATTAGGGTAATGGTTATAAATATCGTATGTGGGTGAAACGTAAAAACCTTGATCAGATATGGGTAATTCAATAAAAACCTTTTTATGTGCCGTTCTTGCAGAAAATTTGACAAATTTGCAAAACAACGAACGCTTTAAAGTTTAATGACATTGATGCTTGCTGATATGAGAAATCTACAAAGAATCTGGTCCTCTTCCAAGAATTAGTTCATAATTTTCGCTATAAAAGAAATAAATACAGAATATGGGAAATTTGAAATTTGAATTTGAAAGCCGAAATTAAATGCCTTTTAAAAGTTAACTAGAAAGGGAATTGTAAATAAATAATGGAAAGCGCGAGGTATTATTTATAGATCAATGCGCAAAATCTATGTAGGCTTGTTCTTAGAATCTAACAAACGAATGACTTATGAAGGAATTTGAAATTAAATATAACAAAGTACTTTGAGCCAGAAAAAAAGGTAATTAAATACTGAAGAATAAAGATGTTCTCTCCATGGATTTATATTCCATCTATTTATACAGTACAGGTCCTGATATTCAAGTTTTAAATTCGAAATATACCTTTTAAGTTCTAAATCTTAAAAAAGAATAGATTTGAAAAGATTCCTAACTTAATTTCCATTCGTCTTATGTTCCTTGGAAATGTGTCAGACCTTAGAACTTGAAATTACAATTTTTAGTTTAAAAAAGCCCCATACTTCATGGGGTTTCAGAAATAAGGACGACGCTTGAGAAGAGAAGATGAACTGAAGAGTTGTTTATGGTTAAGTTTCGTATGTTCGGAACAATGATAGTTCTAGGCAATGAAATGAAGGATCCGAGGGTATTTAAAAATTGATGTCATTGGATTCGAGAATTTATGCGAGAGTGAAAGAGAGAGAGAGAGAGAGTTTATCCAATTACCAAAGAGTATGTCGAATTCGAGAGATCTGCTTTAGCTTGAACAGCAGATAAGAAGTTGGAGTATAAAGTATTGCGAAGTTCTTATCTGTTTGTTTGTGAACAAGTATATGGGAGAATAAAAGAGAAGATGAAAGTATTACTTATGATTCTGATTCTTATGAGGCGCAAAGGCGGATTTTAAGCCATTTGTACAAAAATATGAGTGATAAGAATGAGTTTTAAAAAAATGTCGCCATTAGTTAAAATTTATAGAAAGTTGCTGCACTTTTACAAAAAAAATTATAATAATAAATGGACATTAAAGTCAAAAATATTAAAACACCGACGATTATGCAGGAAAATAAATGTGTAAGAGTTAAGGGCGGCGTTTGTTTTATTTATAATACTTGGAGCATTATTTAATTAACAAATTAAAGGCTTGATTTGGCGTATAGATTTGCAAGGGATTGGCCGCATAAATGGTGAGTGGCAGATTCCAGACCATTGTCTCGACAGGAAGCTCGGCAGGTGCTTTCAATTCACCCTCCACCGGATTGGGGACACCAAAGCCCATCATCGTGCTGGTGACAAACTCGAAGTGTAGACGCCATTTAACATCCACCAAGTCGGTGCGGAATGTGGGCGTCACATGCAACGGAATGGGCACCACAACCTGCGTCTGCAGAGTGGCGTAACAGACTTGATGAGCTGTGGCTATCGTCGTTAGCTTGCCCGTCGGTTCCGGCACCTCTCGATCTCGCACACTGCCCGACGTGGCCGATTTATGCATATTGTCGACGGCAATGCCGCTCGCCACACTGGCCAGATCGAAGGAGTTCAAGGAGCTGGCCTCGTCGCTCACCGAAGAGGACTGCGACTGGGGTACTGTGCTCTGTGGACGTATGGGCAGCTCCTGTTGTTGCAGCTTCACAGAGAACTGCACGCAACGCACTTGGCAGTTGGAGAAGTCCAGACTGCCCACAATATCCTCGCCGAGCTTGTAGGCGGGCTTGAAGAGGCAGAAGCGGCCGACAAAGCCATGCTTATTCGAGATGCGATAAAACTTGGGCGCCCTGCGCGCCGTCACATTCTATGCCAAGTAGAAAAGTTAGTATTTGTAGCAGTTGTAGTTTGCCAAAAGACTCACCTTCAGATGATGCCATGATATCTCCAATTCGCTCAATTCCCGTTTCTCCAGAAAGGGATTGGTGGGCGCCAACTCCTCGTTGGTTTCCGCCGTGCACGGGAGCTCGTCGGGACGCGCTATTATCGATATGGGCAGCACTCTAATCGGCACCGTCAGTGTCTGCACCTTCGACTTGACGCGCTGCGTCGCAATTGTGATTTTATAGAAGTAGCGTATGTCGTGACCCCGGTATGTGGGCGGTCCATCGCGTGGCACAAACTCGTTGAAGAAATCTGAAAGGCAACGGCCATTAAGGTTTGTTTTCGCAAATTTACAAACAACTCACACATCTTTGTCTCGCCCGGCTGCAGCTTGAGGTCGCAGAACAGAATCTTCGGCTTGGTGGCCACAATTACTTCGCCCGGGGCTTGGGTAACCGCATCCAGGGCTGTGCGTCCAATGAGCTCCGCTAGCTCGGCGCTTTTATCCGCGCCCGGCGTGCTGTAGCTCGTCTTTCGATAGCAATGCAGTTGAGCCGACGCCCAGGCCAGATTCTCCAGGCTGCAAGGGATAAAAGGGAGGTGTTTTCTATTAGGAAATTCAATCTAATATGGCAGCAGAGTCGCTTAGCATTCACAACAAGTTCGTCATTTCCCATCACGAAACTTCTTTTGAGAGCTTAGAAGGAGATGGAGAGGTAATTTGTTTGGAATCTATCATATAGTATTTTATATTGATGATATATTCTATTTGTAACCCCAGAGGTGTGAAGAGTATTCAGAGAAGTTACTTTAGCGGTTCTTTTATTTTATTTTGATTTTTATTTGAACTAAATCATAGTTATATTAAAAATTTCGACACAAAATTGCAAAAAATATATTTTAAATACCTTAACTGTTCAAAATTAAAAATGCATTTCTTTTTTAATGTATAATTACTTGTCAATATTCAATAAATTTAAGTCCAACAATGTGAAAACTGCTTTTTTCAAATTCACTGCAAAACCTGTTGTTCTTTACCACTGTGCGGTGCCCGTACTATTTGTTTACCTTGCAGTGTTGGCATTGCGTTGCGTGTTTTTCTCTTCCTCCCCAAACACTTTGTGTGTGAATTCAATTAGGCACTCAACGCGTTCTCCTGTGGCGTAAATTGCGGAATCGGCGCGCACTAGTTTTGCTTTTATTTCAATCATTTATTTATTTATTTTGCCAACCATGTCTGCAATACAATCAGCGAGAAACTCAACTGGAAGGTGGCCAGACACTTGAATTGTAATGCAGTTAAAACAGCTGTGTGGTTATATGGTCACACCAAATGGTATATTCACCTTACGCACCGTTGCTGAACAATATTCACCACTCTGCAAACAAGTACGACAAGCAGCGATACTGGCTAGAGATGAGCGATACCGTTGGTCAGTTTGCGTTTATTTTTCCAGAGGGAAACGTCGTGTGCGCGCGTCGCTCGAGTCGTAAGGCCTGTTTGGCAGTGAAAATTGTTTGTTTTCCAAGAAAATTGCAACATCGCAACAAGTGCAGTGTTGTGCATATGCGTGTGCATTAATTATACGCAAATAACAGTGCTTGTGCAAACGTAACGGCTCGTAAAACAACGACAAAAATACCAGTTTGCAATACAGTTTACTTCATTTCTTCGTTCGTTTTTTTTTTGCATTCCGTTGCTCACAAACGTCGACGGCGACGACGACGGCGTTGCGCTGCCAACGTTGACTGCGCCGACGCAGCGTCAGCAGCCAAAACCGTGCGCGAAATGTTTTACAATAACAACCAGCAACTACAACGTCAATAATTATTTAATTACCACTTTAATTAAATTAACGCGTTACACATTGCGCTGAGAGCGTAAAAGGCTTTTCAAAAGGTAGTAGCTACCTCATCTACTGCTTTTTTCAAGGTGTAGTGTGCAGAAAACAAGTGTCAAGTGGAACGATTATTTCTTCTCTGTGGATTATTGTTTTTGTTTTTGGATATAAAAATCGAGTGGCGCACCTAAAACGTGCAGAAAAGGTAAATTGCTTATGCCAAAAAGCATCAGTTGCTGAATAAAAATAATATTACAGAACTGTCTATCCGTGTGCAAAAATTAATTTGAAAAAGTTAAATATTAAATTAAATTAAATGAATTACTGAATCTGGTACAAAGTCTGTCGTGCATGGCACTAGCATTCGAGTCGCTTATTGTAATGTTAACGGTTTAATTAAATTCTCTGCTTGCGTCACTGTTTGCTCTCCCACGCTCGCCGACGACCGTTTACCGTTTCTTTTTAATTGTTTCAAATTAATGCAGCGATGTTCAGAAAAAATTTAACATTAATTTAAGGCACCCCTCCTGCATGCCTGCCAATAGGGCAACTACGACAACGATAACAACAACAAGCAACAATTGGTATGTCCGGCTTAAATAGCAAAAACAACAAGGAGAAACATTCCACTGGCAATGGCATTCTTATTTCTTTCCTGTTGTTGTTGCTTTTCTAGAATGTCGCTGTCGCGTCCACAAAGACTGCGACGCCACCCGCTCCGCTTTACTTCTTTTTTCATTTCACGCTCGCTCGCTCGCTTACGCGTCCCCAACGTAAGAAACAAAAACAACAAATACGTTACGTTAATTCGTTTGAAGCGGGATGTGGTTTTGCGCTTCAAAATCTTCTACAACAATAAGAAAAACCAAAATAAAAGAAGGGTGCGTCGACCATTTCATTGTTTGTTGTTGTTGTTGCTGTTGCTTGTGTCGTCTTCTTTTCTGTTTTGTACTTTTTATTTTGTTGCTCACCTTCATGTGTTATCACATCGTACATTTTGTCTGTTCTTTCGTCTTCTCAAAGGTAGTATGTATGTACATATATTTGTTCGTATGTATGCCTGCGTACAAGCCCCAGTTGAGAGCCAAATGCACGCACACATGCGCACAAACAGTTATGGGCTTGAGCGTTTGTGTGTGTGTGAGCGCGAGAGTTGAGTCAAAAAACCTGTAACTCCAAATAGCTCCACTATTCACACACACACACACATACATTCACATACACTCTCAAAAGGCAAAGCGCCAAAGCAGCATCAGTAGCGGCAACAGCAACAGCACGCCGGCGTCAACTGAGCCGTCATGCGAGGCACAGTGACGCATACTCTTCACTGAAAAGTGTAAGGGTGTGTAACGTTTATTGTGGAAGGTTTCTCGCCTCTCCTTCCGTCTGAACACAAAACCTAGCTTGAATAGCTTTGTTTTTATTTATGGAAATTTTAAAATGATAACTTATCATATTTAAACCGCAAATATTTGGTGATAGCTGCGCGCCCTTTAAAATGTTGTTTTTTCGAATTCTGGAACTTGATTTCAATATAATATCGGGTCCGACGAGACTGCTTGGGACCCTCCCAATCTAGTAATGCCAATCAGCAAAGAATTTTTTCGTTCATATGCATGATTAATATATTGTTAAGTATCCTATAGAAGTCTAGCGTGAAAAGCACCCAATTCCAGCCCATTGTTGCTCTAAATACTGCGTATTAATGAACATTCTTACATACATATTTATTCTTGAATCCATTATCTTTAGGAATTATTTATAGAAGATAAAATATCTGTATTACTAACCGTCGCAATAATCTTCTGTAAATATGTAGCTATTAAATGCTTTAAAATTCTTTTGCGTCTTTTTATAAGTGTATATAGAACGGAAAAAGTGGAAATGAACAGCAGATTTCTTTGAAATAGTAGGCGCTTTGACATTATCCGTTTATTTGCAAACAACTTACGTATTATGAGTAAATAGAGAAAACGACAAACTTACAACTTTTGACAACTTAAATAGCTTTCTTTAATAAACAACATTTCATTCTAAAACTATTAATCATGCACCTTAGCTATCTATAAATGTTCAAATTGAGTTTGTCTTTTTGAAATCGCAAAATTTCACCAAGCTATGCTGCGAAAAATCCTTTTGCCTATTTTGGAACCCACTGTGCGCTGTTTTCGTATGCACGACTGGAAGATCGGAATTTTTAGTGTGCGCGACGTTGCTGTTTTTGTAGTTGTTGCCGCTACTGCTCTCTTACAACAGGTTTTAGTAGCAGCTTATAAATAAAATGTAGTAGCAGCTCTAGCTTGTGTTCTCACTACTTTACTGTAGTTGTGCCATTTTCTACTACTTTTTCGTCTTGCTACCTTTTGCTCTGAGGCGGGTGTCAGTTACTTTTTTTGCATGCCGCTTTATTTGTACATACATATGTATGTATGTACATACATACATACATGTATTAGTTGTGGCTTGTTGGCAAGTTTCGGTCATTGTACTGCCTGTCTTTGCTACCACCAAAGCAACAATAACAACAGCTTGATACTTTAGTGTTTGTTGTTTTTGCGGTTTCTATGCAGAAATATATAAATATATGAGTACATACATATAGACTTTATGTTTGTTGAACCTTCATTTATTTATTTATTTTTTATGCCAATTGCCCGTTTATTTTTATGCTGCCGCTTTTTGGCGCTTTTTCTCCATTGCATGTGCCTTGTATTTTTTTTTTACTTTTTGTTTTTGTTTTTGCACACCTTTTTATGCGATTTTGCTTACTGCACATTTGTTGTTGTTGCTGTTGTTGGCTTTGCATGTAATTGGTTAATTTTTCAAGCCTGCAACTGAACTTTGTACTGTTGGTGGATTTTGATAGCTTTAGACTGAATGAGTCATTTGTGGCTTTGTTTTTATTGCAGTTGGCTTTATATTTCAATACTCTTTGCTTTAGCTTTGGTGTTGCTATTTTTTGAATTTGGGTCTGGGCTGGCGAAATGTGCTTAGTTGGCTTTTTTTATAGCCAGGTTAATTTCAGGCGAAAGGCGGCTTAGTGCGAAAGATGAGGTAACATTTTCTGAAATAGTGTGGAATGGAAAGTTGAATTAACATTTTAAAAGAGACATAAACAGCAAAAAACATGGATCGTATTCTTTTATTTACACAAAGGACTGCATAAGCGACGTAAATATATTTACAATATCAAAGTATAAATGAAGTGCAGTAAAGCTCCTATTTGTTATTTTGTTAAACCTGCAAAAATACCTAAGAAATGTAATAAGAAACCCAGATATTTTGCTTAAATGCATAGCATAATTGGTTTTCTCATAACTTTAAGATAATATGAGCCCACCCTTGCAAGACAAGATATACACCTAACCTGTCAAACCATCTCTTTCCACAGTTGGTAATACAAAACTTTTCTTTTGTCACTTCAATGTTGGCTATCTACACAGAACCCAAAAGATAAAGTCATATTTGTGGCTGGGGCGAGGAGGGGAACTTGTGTTTATTTCCCCAATTGTGAGTTCCGAAAAGAAAAACATTCGACAATGCGATTGCATTCAATCAGGGAGAGGGTCTGCGCAAAAAGTGCCGCCCGATAAGGAAACACTCTTACACTAATTGTCTAGACAAATAAATGCTGGAAGTAAAATGTTACGTGGACGGCATAAGTAAACTCTATAAATAAATATATGCATATGTCAAAAAAAAAGTAAATAAGACCAACCCGAAAACCAAAACAAACAGACGACTATGGCGACAAGTGCGACAAAAATGCAGGGCAGTCACATATAGCGGTTCGATTTATGTAGGACAGAGGGTGAAACTGGCACACACACACACACCCTTGGAAAGAGCTGCAGGTGTAAGCTAATCTAATTATGCCATAGCCATAGAGTGAAATCAAACAGTTGCCTACCACCCAAATATTTGCTCATTGATAAAAGTACACAACATTAAAAGAAAAAAAGCAATGGAATGTTATCTTCGTTGCCACGAAGATTGTATGCCCTTGTTTACAAGTTCTGTTGAAATCTCTGGGCGACATTTTAAATCAACTAATGGGAATTGTTTTTGTAAACGGAACGATCCCATGATAGCGGAGGCATGTCAGTTAATACCGATATTTATGAATGATTGTTGAATAAGAAATGTGTCAAGTATTTAGCAATAAAAAAGAAGAGTTATATTGCTCAAAGTTTAGCATAAAAATTGATGATTCTCAATACTTGTACAATTCCTTGCTATTCCAAAAATCGAGTACAATTGATTCTAGGTTTTGTCATTATTTTTATTAATGTTAAAAGCTTAATAACTAAGAAATCTAAGCACTCGGTGATCACAGATCCTCCAAAGTTTATTATGTTACTCATAACATTATCATTACATTCTTGGTCGTTTATAAAATCATTTAAAAATTGTAATGATTTAGATGATGATGTACACAAAGCAATTTTTTTATCATTGCTGGATACAAGTTAAGAGGCGTTTAGGCATAATGTAACGGACGAAGCGTCGATCGATCGTTAAATAATTGCAAATCAAACTTATATTTAAAGCAAAATCTATCGTTACAGCACATATAATTAAAATATTAAAATATACCAACAATTCTCGAATAGAATTAGTTGACTTAAATATATACCCTAAAAACAAAATTGAACCGATTTTCTGTGTATCAATAGAAATATTTGGGTTATTGTTACACAAATATAGATACCTTATATTTGCTGCAAAGTTAACGAAGCATATTTTCGACTAATCGTCCCCATATCTAGACTGACGCCTATACCCTAGTATCAGCTTTTCCTTTCAGTTTTTTCTGTCTTTAACTTGCTTGGGTAAAAAGTAGAGAGGAATACAATAATACAACAATGCAATAAAATTGTTAAACAAAGATAGATAAGCCATGAATGTGCCTTTTATAGGTTTTAGTGATAGGCGGCGTCATTGGTTCTAAAACAATATTATGAATGTTGTGTAGCAATATTTATGGTTCAATTGATAACTGGTTTTTTATATAGAAATTACTTAACTGGCGACAGTTTTGTTGAATAAGTAGAACCTATGCTTAAGATTGATTGTGTAGTCTCAATCAAGAATAAATTGATAAGAGCAAAGGTGCCAAAAGAATTTGTAATAAATAAGTGACTTTATGAAAAGCTGATGAATACAAGGGCCTAAAGCAGCTCAATAATTAGATCATTACAACAA